AGTTCAGTTTCCATCTAATAGTATCAGTTACTCTCAAGTGTGTGGTAGAGTAGTGGGATATCAGTATGCTTCACCTGATGCTGTATATCATGGTCATGGTGCCCCCGAGAGTCATAATAATATTAATTCTTATTATGTTGATGGTGTTAGTATCACTCGTGGGTCTCCTCGTCAACATGTCTGGACACTAATGGCTGGAGTGACAGGGTCTAGTAGATATACTCATTTCAATTGTCCTTGTTCCACTGGTAGTCGTCAAACTTCAAAAATTCAATCATTCGTTGGTAATGATTACTATTGTGAATCAGGAGCTAGTAATACTTGGACTCATATTCTCTACACATCTGACCCACTGTGGGATGGTCAAGGTTGCGGTTCACTTGAAACAGCTTGTTGTAATGTTCCTGGTATCCCATGGTTTCACAGAGACTATGGTAACACTACCACTACTGACTACCTTGAGCTGAGGGTGTGTGCTGATCAAAAGACAACTGATGAAGATGTTCCTGTTGCCTTTTACGAGATTTACGTTAAGTAACTACATTAATTAATTGGTTTGTTTGAGTGATTAAACATGCCATTATTTTCAACATTTTTAGTATTTACTTGCATACATGTAGTTTTGCTACTGTAGCTTTCTTTTGCTTATCATAATATCTATAATGTAGTATGTAGTACTCATTTTTATGATCAATATGGATACATGCTGTGACAATAATGAATATGTGTACCAATACTGTTTCTAACTGAGTAAAGTATTGTAGAGCGAGCCAAGCATCAATGTGTACCAGGCCTGGGGTAATAGTAATATGTAATAGTAATTGTAATAGTAACGATTACAGGGCACCAAGTAATAGTAATAGTAATAGTAATAGAATCTTTGGCAACAGGAAGTAATAGTAATAGTAATAGTAATAATTGTCAAAGTAATATGTAATCTCAATATTACATAGCTATTATTTGCAGTGTTACACTAATAAGTAACAATAGGAAAACAGCACGTTAACCAGGAACTATTGCTCAGTACTGAGACTTTTTATCATAAATATAACAAAGCATTCTTAATTCGAAACTATAAAATGGCTTAAATTAACTTCAAAATTAGATTCTTTTTATCAGTAACCTATAAAAATCTATGGCGTATTGTAATAGTAATTGTAATAGTAATATACTTTGTTGTAATAGTAATAGTAATAGATTACTTTGAAAAAAGGCTGTAATAGTAATAGTAATATAATAGTTAAAATTTTCAAGTAATAGTAATAGTAATAGATTACATTTATTTGTAATTGACCCCAGGCCTGATGTGTACACACATACATGTACATGTATTATACACATGCAAATCATCATATACACGTACACAAACTTTATTGCATCATGTAGCAACAAATGGTACATAAACTTACCAGATACAGCACGAGTGAATATTAGTTCAGCTTTAGTATAGTCTCCTTCCTGTACCAGCTCATGATGCAGTTCAGTAAGTAATGGATGCTCAAGGTCAAGATGAGCTTGTTTCTGTAGTGAGGCAAAAGCTTCTTGATAATCATTCTGTCTCAAGTGCTTCAGGCATAACCTGACCGCCTCTTCCTGCTGGAACTAAAATACAAATAAATAATAAACTTGATAAAGGAAGAATAAATGTTCTGAAAAATGAGTCAAATTAAAGGAAGCTAATTTTGTAAGAATATGTGTACATGTAGGCTGAATCCAGTAATACAGTAAAGTCAGTAATGTTAAAGTACATTGCATTGCCATAAATACAGTATCTACAGTAATTATTTTATTTATTATTAACTGACTTCTTTAAGCCGGTGAGCAGCTCCCTTTACAATTGATGGATCAGTAATCCCCAGCAGGTCAACATGCCATAAACTGAAATTGGTCTGACCCCAAGTATCCAGCAATACTGTGGACAAAGGGTTAAAAATACACTAAAATGTAAGAGATATTTATAAATATATACTGACCAATCTTTACATAGAGACAAGGGAATGGGCCATTCTTTAGTGTGTGACGAAGAGCAATTGTTTCAGAGCAACCATCATTCTTTAATTCCCTAAAAAATCAATTATAAGCCTCTGTTGTTCTATTTATCATTTCCTTCCTCTTTATTCCTCTAAATCACTATCTTATAATCTTCCTCCTCCAAAATTATTATCTTATTTTCTTCCCCTCCAATAGTTAGTATTAGCTCTCATTCACTTATTACTTACCCTTCAGCTAGTCTAACAAGATACTCGCTATTCATTCCTCCCATTATCTTTAGCTTGTGGACGTTACACGCATGAGGTCGACAATACTTGCCAAACACGGCTTCGGTCACAATGGCCGGGTGAGAGAGCTGGAGCGTAACGTGTTGAGGCGGACGACCGCTTTCGCTCAGCCAGCGAGATGTGAGATCATCAGGTTTATTCTCTTTTATCAACCTATAAATAAGAGCATCTGAATTTTTAAAGTTGCTCAAAAATCAGACAAAAGTCCCTGTACTATAGTACATGGTCTCGAGCCGAATTTCATCAAAAATGGCAAGGTGAGAATTTTCCATTTTTATAACTTTATCTGATGCATATACATGTTCTTATATTGTGCAGAAAGTTTGAGCTGATTCTAATCAAAATTAGATTTTTTACGAATTTTTAAAGTTACTCCAAAATCGGGCCAAAGTCCCTGTACTATAGTACATGGTCTCGAGCCAAATTTCACCAAAAATGGCAAGGTGAGAATTTTCCATTTTAATAACATTTTCTGATGCATATACATGTTCTTATATTGTGTAGAAAGTTTGAGCTGATTCCGATCAAAATTGGATTTTTTACGAATTTTTAAAGTTACTCCAAAATCGGGCCAAAGTCCCTGTACTATAGTACATGGTTTTGAGCCAAATTTCATCAAAAATGGCAAGGTGAGAATTCTTGATTCTCTGATGCATCTTATCTTGCATAGAAATTTTGAGCTCATTATGATCAAATTTTTTAAAGTTTATCACAAAAATTTAGCCAACTACATGTACATGTAGATATGACCATGGGCCGGTGACTGTTATTGTACAGCCTAAGTCATGATTACCAATTAACGAGGAGAGTACAGTAAGTTTAACACTTGCTAAGTAACCATAACACTTCTGCAAAGATTATTTTGCTTGTCACACTTAATTAAATCAATATCAATAGAAATATCAATAGTTCAATACATAAAGTTGTGACGGTAATGCAAAAATGCTTAGTCCTTACTTGGGATGATAACCTGGGGAATAGCTAGACCACTCAACCACATCATAACTGAGTCTAGTAACATTTCCAGAAGAGGAGTTCTCCTCTTTAAACTTTGAACTGCTAGCCGCCATTATTGGCTGACACGCCTCTTTTGTATTTGGGTCTCGTGATCTCACGTGTTTAAAATCAAACAGAAAATATACGAGAGAAGCCGGAAATAATATACTCGTTATTGGGTATTACATCATTATTACGCGTCTAAAGATGGCGCATCACGGATGGCAGGAAGCAGCAGAAGCTCCCAGCGTGTCACCAGGTGAATATTCTCCCTGACTAATGTGTTTAAAGTATTATTTATTAGGTCCTTCAGCTCCAAGCCTTTATTCTCCTTACTCACTCGATCCAAACTACCTCCCTCAAGTAAGTGACATCATCATGCTTGTTTTCTCTTGACCACGCCCTCTCATTATTCCAGGGTCCTGAGTTCATATTTCCAGTC